TAAATGTTGTTTGAGCCCTATTTTGGGGGAAATAATGAATTTTTTAATAGTGTATTGATGCGGCATGTGTGGTTAAAAAAAAAAAATTGAACTTGCGTGTAATATTATTTTATTAAAGAATGTGTGATTGAAATGATGTCAAAACACTGTTGAAAAATGTATTTTTCCAAAAAATGGGACTCAAACAATGGCTAGTCTAGAATTTTCTCTTTTCGTATTTCATGTGTTAGCCTAAAATAATCATCGTCTCATCCTTTTCTGTAATGTCATTTTTCTTGAATTCAGTTCTATTACTCGTTAAGTCTAATTACAATGAATGATATCAGTGTCAATAAAAATGAGCGAATTGCCATGGTTAAAAATGATTTATGACATCAACCATCAAAGTGAGAAACTGATACCGACACTACTAATTATCATCTAAGGACCAAAAATGGCTGTTATATTTCTTATTCTTTATCCCTTTGTACATATGTATTTCTCTTTCGGAGCCTTTCTTATTGGATTTTTTTTATTATGATTGCAATGAAATATAAGAAATAAGAAATTTTTTGCATAAATGGTGTGTACAAATATAAAGGTTACAAATGTATTTTATTAAAATAATTATACCTTTTGGGAAAATTGTAGCAACAGTCATTAACCTTTTCAATTTTTGCAGATTTTACCCTAACTTTCAATTTGTGCCAATAAAGATCCCTAACCTTTAAAAATATGCATCTAGAGTCCAAATGAATGAAAAACATCCAATTGATCGTTAGTTGACCAAAAATTGTGATTTTGACCACGTTTGGTAAGGGCATTTACGCCAATCACATATTTACCCTTTTAATAATCAAATTAAGGTAAAAACAATAATAAAAAATATATATAAGAAAGAAATTTGCACCTTCCCTCATCCCAACCACCTTCAGCAACGACACCACCAAGCTCAACCACACAATCCACCAGCTCTGACCACTTTCAGCTATGGCACACCACCGAACCCTCAATTGTAGTGTCCATTCGATAATCCCAAAGTTGCATCACACTGTTGTGAAACTCGCCGAAATCCATGGCCACTTACTACTCTTCACTCTAGTAATCTTTGTTTCAAACTTTGTCGACATTTTTCAATTCTTCACAACTAGATCCGACCTAGAGAGGCTCTATTAAGTAAGTATCTAGAGAGGCTCCACCCCATCCCCTTTCTACAGCCTGCACCATCGCCAGATGAATGTGCTTCCAACATTTTATTGTTGAGCAAAAAGAATTTCAAAATCAAAATTGTAGATTCGCATTTCATAATAGCTGGAGAAGATTCGAGCAAAAGATAACAAAAAAAAAAAAGTAACTCAACTTTAATGATTCTGGGTGCTAAAGATGAGTATTCATATATAAGATTTGAAATAAAAAAATGGGCTTGAGCACTATGCACTAATTTTATTTTTACGCACACCAAATCTTCATCTCTTTCTCCCAAATTGATATTTTCTCTTGAGGGCTCTTAATTAAACATAAGAATGGAGAACTATAGCAGGGAAGGCAGCTACTGTTGTTGCTTGTGTGGATGGTTTGATTGTGTGTGGTGGCTGAAAGTGGTCAAAGTTGGTTGATTGTGTGGCTAGGCTTGGTGGTGTCGTTGCTGAAGGTGGTTGGGATGAGGTGAGGCGTAGGGTGGGGGTAAAGGAGATGAAGATGCAAATTTCTTTTTTTTTTCATTGTTTTTAGCTTAATTTGATTTTTAAAAGGGTAAATATGTGATTGACGTAAATGCCCTTACCGAACTTGGTCAAAATCAAATTTTTTGGTCAATTAACGGCCAACTGAATGATTTCCATCTATTTGGACTCCAGATGCATATTTTTGAAAGATTAGGGATCTTCGCTTGTACAAATTAAAGTTAAGATAAAGTCTGCAAATATTAAAAATATTGAGGACCGTTGCTACAATTTTTCCTATACTTTTAAAGGCCGGAATGGATGGAAACAATTTAAAATGACTTTTTTGCACACAAAATCAACAATTTGAGGGGTCAGCGTCAAGAAAAAAAGTTTAGGGACTATTTGCTGACAAGGGTCATACATTTGGGACCATTTGTGTCAATTTCTCTTTTATAATAGTCAAATTAAAATGAGTTCATGGTGAAGGATTTATGGTATATTACTCTATTGTATGCCCATTTTTGACCTTAAAAAAATGCTTATTTTTGTTTAGTTTTTAATTCTTTGAGCAGACCCAGACTTTCAACATTTATCATTCTCAAGTCAATTTCAATAGGACCTTTAGATCACTTTAAAGTTCATAAATTGTGCATTATATCCTTGTTTGAGCCCATTTTAAGAGAATGAATGCATTTTTAAATAGTGATTGATAGAAAATGTGTGGTTAAAAATTAAGAAAAAGTTTAAAGTTTGCGTGTAATATTATTTTATTAAAAAATATGTGATTGAAAATGAGTTATGAAAATTTTTTTTTTAAGAATAATTGAGCTCAAACGAGACTAAATATACAATGTCTTATTATTTCTTAGAACAAGAATCCACAATCACAAAAAAATAGTTGGTAAAAACTTGATGTACCAAACAAAGTTCAAATCACAACACAAATTATTCGAGTAATCGGTATCAGCATACAAAGATAAAAGCCGCTAAATGCAAGACGTGAAATTTCTTAGAACCAGAATCCACAATCTAATATAAAACATAATAATTAATTTTGACGCTCAAAAATGGCACCAACAGATGTCGGGTCCACACGTGTTCGCATGGGTAGATTTCGATGTGTTAAGAGCTTGTTCGATTGGGCATTGGAACTAGATTTAGAGGATACGCCTTCGACGTGCGACTAAACAGTTCGGACGTCGGCCAAAGTGATTGGAAAACTTGAAGATACGCGAATATAATTATACCTCAACATACTCGAAACAGTCCCATGTGAATAGAAAGGAAAGGAAACGAATAAGAGATTGAAATGTATGGAGTAGTGTTTATTCTCCCCTAAAAAATGTGCCAAAAATTAACATACCCGTTCCTTAATCTTTTCCCCTAGTTTTCTCCCCTTTTTCTCTTTCTATATTAGAGATCCGCCCCCCGCCCCGCCCTGTCTCCC